ATGGAAAAAGCAAGGGACTCCGCGTGAGGGCACGTGAGAATGGATGGGAAGAAGGAGAGAGAGAGAGAGAGAGAGAGAGAGAGAGAGAGAGAGAGAGAGAGAGAGAGAGAGAGAGAGAGGGACATGGTACCGCAAGGGTTGCAGGCATAGAAAAGAGGACAGGCAGGGAAGAGCTTTATCTTAGAAATTGTGCACAGCTCTACATTGTTGCAGCTACCTTCTTACTTGGCGGCCATTCTTTGGTGTTGCTGTCTTGCTGCAGGCTGCCGTCTCCTTCCTTGTGTCGTCAATGCGCCGCTTTCGGCAGACTGTGCTACGCAATGGACGGAGAACAAGGGATCCGGATGCTTTCACACCCGTTGAACGGCGTCTTCCCCCTCATCCCCCACCAGCTTCAGCTCCGGATGAAGGTTCTTCTTTCATGGTTGGCATATCTGGTCCAGAACAGAGGGCAGCGCAGGTTTCCTCTTTTCCGGAACGTGGGGCTGTGATTGACCGTGGACACACTGAGTTTATTATTGAAGATGCCCGGGAAGGACATGTTGGTTCCCGCACAAATGGCGTCTCTCATCCGTTTTGGCGACAGGTACTTCATCATACTGCAAGACACGCCGAGCTCCCATCGTATGCAGGCTATGGAAATGAGAGTAGTTCTCATGATGTTCGAAGTGAGAGCTCAGTGGGCACCATTGGTTCTGGCACGAACCACCTCTCCCACCCATTCTTGCCACAGGTGCTCCATCATGCCCCAAGGCATGCAGAGCACCCATCCTATGCAGAGGTTGGATATGAGGGGAGTTCTTTAGGTGTTGGGAGCGAGAGCCCAGTGCGCACATTGGTAGATCATTCAACACACAGAGACAGTGACGTAGATGACGAGCGAGAGCGCAGTGTGGCGAGCAGCATCTTAGCTGATCAAGCCTGGGCCTACCAACGATCGTCCATTTCAGAAGGCCAAGCGTGCCGTTCCCGAAGACAGACCACAGAAACTAGTGCTCCCCATGTGCATGTACTGCTCTCGGGACCTGAAGGGAATGTTCTCCGGGAAGGGAACAGCCAGCAGGTCTTGTGGGCAGAAGGTGTAACCGCCGGTGATGGCTTACGAGATCGGGCACAAGATAGAGTGCCAATTAGGGCACACGGGGAGCTCGCGGGTCCGCATGGATGGCCTCATAACGGGGCAGCCGCGTCATATGGTGTGTTGTGTTCACACCAGCCGGGTATCGAAAGAGTATCGGGAAGGGACGAGGACTCAACGATTGTTGAGCTGTTTGTAGATTCTCGACGCTATCAGGATAACGTCGTTTTGACGGGAGCCAACCGGCTGCCATGAGGGGTACAGCTGACAGACTTCAGCATTCTGTGGTCAGAGTTGACCCTTTCTGGTCGACATCAACGTTTTCTAGTCATCAGGCAGCTGTGAAGATGTAGTCTAGTAGAATGAAGGGGCTCTTCTGTTGGGCGGCATCCCTTCTTCTTCTGTTCTGCAGTTGCGGAGGTGGTTGCCGTGCACCCATCCACCATGCATGTAGTTTGCTGGAGCTTCTATGGCTAGAAGCTCGGTACGACAAACGATAACCAGAGTTAAAATGGGAGGTGAGGTGGAGTGTGTGCTTTGCGACAGAGGTGAGGTCCATTCTCTTCATCTGCTGTCATGGTATTGCGAATGTTGCTTTCTCTCATTCGGATGATCCAGAACCACTGTTTCGTGGAGGTGGTCTTGTGAGGCACGCGCATGGCAACAGTTTGAAAGTAGTAGAAACAAATAGGAAGGAAGGAAATGCAGGGGTGCTTGCTTTCACATGTGCAAGTATGCCCTCATAGCAAACTATCACCTGAGTGAAGCTGGGAGTCAGACGGAGTGTGCTTGTTTGCCGAGGTGAGGGTGCATTGGCTTCATCTACTGCGATGATGTTGAGATGCTTGATGTGAAGGTGGCACAACTTAACAAACGGCTTGAAACTTAGAAAAGAATGAAGGGTTGCTTGCATTGGCTCATGCAAGGTTTTACCCTCGTAGCAAAAACTTTGCAGTCTTGTGAGGCTGTGAAGGCGGAAAAAAACTGAACAGAACGCTGTTCTGTGGAGCTCTTGAAAGGTCGCAGAGGCGGCAAAACTTCTGAACCGCTAGAAGGGAATGATGGGAAGCTTTCTTTTGCTTATGCGGCTTGACCCTTGTAGCAGATGTGGGCTCATGTGGTAGGCGCAACATCCTTCTGAATTATGATTTTGTCTGCGCCGGGAATTTTTTTTTTCGGGCGGGGGCGGGGGCGGGGGGGCGGGATCGATATGTGCTTTCAATGTGCACTTTCCTTTCGCCTCTTTGCGATGCGATCTGGCTAAGCACATCTGGAATCATGTTTCCCGGCAAGGTCCTTCCAGAACTATGCCTTGATGGATGCAGGGAATCCGACCATGCCCTTTTCGTTACCTGCCTCTGGGGCTGGACCACCTGGGCAGGTTTTAGCAGATGGATTCTGATGGAAGGAAAAAACTGTTGCTGCGCCCAGATATGTTATCCCATGGAGCAGCTGAAAATCTGGAGGCCCCGTGGCGACCACGCTGGTCACGAACACGGGGTGGTGGTTTAAAGATTACAAGGAGTGGGATTTTGCGACAAAAGGCCTAGACGTAGTCCAGCACGGCACGGGGAAACTTGGGGTGCTCGTTGTCTTCAAATTGGAGCGGTGAGCAGGTAAGTTCTTTCTCATAGTAGGCACACTGCGTGGAGAATCGGCTACAGACATGGGATATCATTTTGAAATAGTATGGATGAATTTCAGACCAGAATAAGGTCTTTTGACCTGAGAGCGTACACGCGTGAGAGCTTTCCTGGGTGTATCTGGTCGCCGCTTAGCCAGATTACGGGTATCTGGTCGTCAATCGGACTCGATCTTCTCGATGTGCGGTCCGGAACGTAGCATCCGGACAAGTGGAAAAAGGCCCCAGGTAGTCGAGCCCTTCATGAAGTTGTAGCAGTCGTCATCGTGGACATCGAGTTTCGGTAAATTTAGGTTTTGACCGCGACGACCAGTCCTTAGACTCCTTATTGAACGTGACCGCAGTAGCACGCATGCAAAACTCAGTTCCAGAAGGTTATGCCCTCTGCTTATGCGATCCTCATAATGCCCCATCTTGAAGTCATGGCAGTTATGGGACATTGAGTTTTCGTAAATTTTAGGTTCTGATGTCATCGACAGCCAGTTCTTAATGAACGTGGCTGCAATAGCATGCAAAATTCATTGAGTTTTCGTAAGTTAGGTTCTGATGGCAACGACAGCCAGTTCTCAATGAACGTGGCTGCAATAGCATATGACTTATTCATTGAGCATGGAGAAGTTAGGTCTTGATGTCATCGATAGCCAGTTCTCAATGAACGTGGCTGCAGTAGCATGCAAAATTCATTGCGTTTTCGTAAGTTAGGTTCTGATTGCAACGACAGCCAGTTCTCAATGAGCATGGCTGCAAAGCCTGCAATAGCATGCAAATCTCAGTTGGAAGAGAGGCCCCCTGTGAGTTTTCCCTGCTTGTGCGATCCTCATAGCAGCAAGCAAGTTACGTTTCGGAGGGATGTGAAGGGATCACTAGGTCGTCCTTTGCGACGCAGCTTTTTGGGAATTGGATGTTCAGAGAGAAGGCCGGTGTGCTCGAGGATGAGAGACCATACTAATCGTTGAATTGACCGGCCACAGGTAATTTGGAATCATTTTATTCTGGTCATTTGATGTATCTGGATTCGAACTCGGGTCTGATTCATATTTCAACAGTCCGTGTGTGTACCAACTGAGCTAGGCCCGTTGGACCTTACTCATATTTGGGCTTTCCTAGATGTATCCGACCGCAATTACGGTTGGACCTGGATGTATCTGATGGCAATTACATCCGGAAATCGGTCGACGAAGTCCTAGCGTGAGTATGACCGGAACTGTGCGAATCGAAAAATGGTCCTTGCAAGGAATTGGAAGAAGCAGTGCCCTCGAGTGTTTGGGTGAAGTATTGTGCTTCTCTTGTCACGGACCGGTTCTGTATGTGACCGAAGGAGAAACAAACGCAGGGCTTTTGTATCTCTATCATCCTCCCTCTAACAGAACATAGGCTTATCTCATCTGTATCTGACCTCACAATTGGCCTCCTAAGTGCTGGCACGATGACACTGAGCTTATAATTAGTCGCAGCATAGGATAGCCAGCTTGCGCGTTCGTTCATTAGAATGTGCTTGTGCCCTAGCTTGCCACAGCCCTGGAGCATTGGGACCAGGCATCCTCCTCTCAGAGGTCATTTGCGCATTTGCCCTGGCACTTCCCAAGCATTTTGCCGTGTGGCCTCGAAGTACCGTGAGTGACTGACCTGACCGACCAACTAGTAATGTGCTTGTTATGTATCGGGGCCTGCAATGGCTAATGGGCTGGCTTATTTATGGAAGGCATTCTCCAGAGAGGTCTTTGAAAGTGAAATCTGCAAGGAGCCTGTTGTGCGATCCGTCTCCTCCTCATTGTCTTGCGAATTCAACTTCAGACATTTTGCATTCAGGAACCCTGGTACGGAATTACCGATACTTATGGCCTCGCTCCACTACACAACACTCCACATGCATTTGGACGCTTTGTGGACCAGGTGCATTCGGACAAGTCCAACATTGTGAATGTATCAGGTCCAGAAAGTGTCCGAATTCATATACAGTGCCGTGTATTCGAAGAAGGCCCTCAGCTTGTGTTTCCGCTGCATTCTTCATCGTTGACAAATTTTCGCCATCGGTTCTGCAATGGTCCGGCGAGCAATCGGAAGGTCTGCATTTGTTCGCCTCCAAGCCCCCCTGGTGGGCTTCCGTCAGGGTGGTTCTAACTTGTAAGGGTGTGAGCACAACTGTACTTTCTTGAATGTATCTGACAGCAATCAAGGGCATATTCCGTCGACAAGTTGGTGGACTGTGTTCGCTCAAAGAAATATCTCATGCATTAGGTTCTACTGTCTTACAGATATATTCAGAGCTCTGGCACGTGTCCGATGAGGCGAAGGGTATGATGGGCTCAAAACTCCCGTAACCTTCGATGCTTAGGGTCGGCTGGTAAGTTACGGGTTCAGATCGCCTAGTCATTGCCTAATCGATGAGGCGAAGGTTATGGGTTATGGGAGGTTTGAACCCACAACCTATAAGAGTGTGGTCACACATCGATTAGGCAACTATGACATGGGTTCAAATTCCGACGGAGTTTTGAACCCATAACCTATAAGAGTGTGGTCGCGCATCGATTAGGCAATGGCATGGGTTCAAACTCCGACTGCACATCGATTAGGCGAAAGTTATGGGTCCAGATCTCGCCTAGCGAAGGAGTTCTACCTCAGGTGTTAATAGTGTTTGTCAGGAGCACCGAGCAGGAATGTCAAACGCTATGAGGGGGTTGCTTGTATAAAAAGGGCATACGCATACTCGCACTCGGAGTTTTTCCACTTCTCTGTGGACTTGATTGCGGTCAGGTGCATCCAGGCGGGTTAGGAAAAGCGGGCACATACATCGAGGAAAATCCTATTGTGAGTATGCCCTAAGCCAAGAAGGTTTGGGGCGCCGCAAGGGAGAGTACAATGGAATGAGGAGAGGGATGGATATCCAACCAGTGGTGTTGGTACACACAGAGCACATTACGGGCTCACTCTGCTACAAAAAAACGTTCTACATGTCTCTGGATCTGCTATTGGTCCCAGTACATGCAAAATGTTGGATCAGGCCAAATGTATCTGGCTGACTTGTGAGTCCCACATTCATCTTGAATGATGAGGAGTGGAGC